GGGTTTGGGACAGTGGGTAGGGCCGAGAGAGGGTTGGGTGGGTTGGGTGTTAGATCCTTGTGAGCACGGAGCGGAGTACACGACGAATCAACCGGAAAAATGGGAAGGACACCAAGGAATGACGGAGATGTGACGAAAGACCTTGTGTGTGTGGAGACGGTGGAGTATGGAAACTGACTCTCTTGAAACTGGATATGACGAGAGATGTATACACAACCCGTGGAGAGATCAAAACAACGATATCCTTTTGACGAGGAGTCGTACCCAAGGAAGACACAGGGTTTGGACCGTGGTTGGAATTTATTTGTGATTTCATGACGTAGACACGGATAAGCCAAACACCCAAGAACCCGGAGAAGATTGTAGTCTGGAGCTTTGTGAAACAGAGACTCATAAGGGGATTTGTGATTAAGAGACCTTTTTGGCATACAGTTGATCAGGAAATTTTGAGTAGCCAACGCCTCAACCCAAAATTTTGCTGGGAGATTGGCTGTGCAAAGAAGTGTGACAAGAGTTTCAACCAAGTGACGGTGCTTTCTTTCAGCGACACTATTTTGTTTAGGAGTGTAAGGACAAGATTTTTGTTGAAGAACCCCCAAATTTTGTAAAAACAGACCAAACTTTTTATTGACATATTCCCTCCCATTATCTGTGCGAAACAGCTTAAGGCGTGCATTGAACTGAGTTTGAACCATAGAATGGAAACTAAGAAAAGCATCAAATGCATCAGATTTATTTTTAAGAGGGTACAACCAGCAAAACTTGGTGTAATCATCAATAAAATTAATATAAAAATGATAACCTCCAAAGGAGGGTACAGAAGTAGGTCCCCATACATCAGAGTGAACAAGTTCAAAAGGAGAAGAAGCTTTAGTTTCAGACACAGGGAAGGGGAGTTTATGAGACTTAGAAAGAGAACAAGAATTACAATGATCAAGATGCTGAAATTTAAAACCTAATTGAGACAATAACGACTTAGTGACTGAAGCTGAGGGATGACCAAGATGACAGTGCCATTGAAATGGAGTGACTTTGACAGAGTTGACCACCAGAGAAGAGGAAGATGCCGGTATGGAGTACAGACCACGCTCACAAGGGCCCTTGAAAAGAACTTGGTTGGTGAGATTGTCCCAAATCGTAAAATCCTTAGAGGTAAAAAGAAAAGAACAATTGTTATCTTTAGTAAATTGATGGACTGAAAGTAGATGGGAGTTAATGTGAGGGGAATGGAGAAGGTTGGTTAAGGTAAAAGTGTGGAGAGGGGTGGTGAGTATACCTGAGCCTGTATGGTCAATGGGAAAGGTGTTACCTCCTGCAGTTGTGATGGAATTGGTGCCATGGTAAAAAGTCAAAGTATGCAGCCGAGACAAATCAGGCGTGACATGGGTGTTTGCGCCAGTGTGCAGATGCCAGTTCGAACTAGATTCAACAGTTGATTTGCATAGAACGCCTACGGAGGACCAGCATATGATTCGTCGTAGCAGTGCCAATAATTCCAGACCGCATGGCGAGGCTTCCCACAGAGTTGGCACGTGATGGACCCCCGGCCACCTCCTCTTCCGCGTGCGTCGTCGCGGTACTGCGGCTGCCGGCCGCCTCTGCCGCCGGGCTGACTGCCGCGGTAAGGCCCTCCTCGGCCTCGCTGTGGTCCACGGCCACGACCCCGACCATTGCCTCGTCTGGAATTGGTGTAGAGAGCATTATGAATGTCAACAGACGAAGTAGAGCTCGAGTCACCCAGAGACATTTTTTTCTCAAAAAATAAGTTCAATTCTTCAGACAGCAACCAGAAGAGACAGACGCCATGGCTGTGTACGGCGTGATCGGAGAGCTCGGCTCTGCCGATTTTTTTTCCGATGATTAACGCAGCAAGAGAGAGAAAAAAGGATCTTGGATCTCTGATAAAAACAAGGACCAAGAACGAAGACATAGAATTGTATTGAGTCGGTCTTAATGTGATCAAGACCGGCACAAACTTTCAAAACATGGCTCTCAAGGCTCATCTCATCAAAATATTTTTTTTTATATTCAAAATGTTAATCACATGTTTTAAACTTGCCTAAAAACACTTGGAGTTCGCCCAAACCAAAAACTAAGCAATCCGGCGTTTGGCTTTCAGAAACCAGCGTTCGGCCTTCGGTTATCGGCGTTGGTTTTTGGCGTCCGAACCAACCAAGTGGTTTTCAACTTTTTATGATTGGTTTTTACTTCTGGGAATATTTAAATAGTTCTCCAACAAAAACGCTTCAAAAACCACCTTCCGTTTTTGGTCGTTTAGTGAAAACCATGCGAAACGGTGCAAACTTGGTTAGCCGTGGTTTTCAATTAAAAGACGTGGCTTTTAAGATGTTTTACTTGATTTCTTAGCAAAATGCAATAAACAAATGTTTTCAATACTTGGTTTTTATTTTGGAGAACTTACATTTTTGACATCGGCTAACGGCATGACTAAACCAACCATGGGTCTGGCTAAACCAGCCCAACAGCGATGTTGGTGAAACCAACAGCGCTGTCTGGCTTGGGTAGCTGAAAACCAGGGTTTGGCTTTAAGTCTTCCAACAGTGATGTTTGATGTTAGACATCGCTGTTGAGCCAATGTTGGGTTTCCAAAAATATCTGGAACAGCGATGTAGACCACCCTACATCGCTGTCCAACCTAAGCAAAAAAGAAATGCTTCTGGCAGAAAGATTTTGGACAGCGATGTTGACCCAGCAACAGCGCTGTCAGGCCAAACTTCTACCTTCAAAGTCAGACCTAAACAGCGATGTTCAAATAATGAACATCGATGTAGGGACCTGACCGTTGGAAGGAATTTAAGGCTAAAACTTTCCTTGTTTGAAAGTCAACAGCCAAAACAGCGATGTAGGGGCATTGGACATCGCTGTTGGCATGACCGTTGCTTCCCATTTTTCAAAACCCATGCCTAGAACAGCGATGTCCAAGCCTAGGACAGCGCTGTCTAGGTGAATTTCAGCAGATCCAAATTTAATCAAATCCCACAAATTATGCCAATCACCCCTTAAATGTTTTGATCCGTTGGAGCCTATTTTTCCACTATAAAATGGGGTGTTTGGGTCTGTTTTACACATCACATTACTTCACAACTCCTAGTCTTTCATTGCAAATCATTCATCCTTTATTCATAGCTTTTTGAGAGCCATTTTTGTGAAGCTTGTGTTGTGTTCTTGAGCGTTCTTAGTTACTCATTATCCACTCTAAAAGAGAGTATTGTTCTTGAGTGCTTTTAGTGTTCTTCGACACTTGACAAGAGAAAATATTTCTCTTGTGGTTCGAAGGAAGGGTTGTTTCCTTCGAAGGTTCATTGAGGTTCGTGTGACTCGAACTCTCAATTTTATTTATTAAAATTGGGAAATAGCGGAGTACAACGGAAGCAATAAAAACATAATAATTAAAGGAAAAGAGATAGAAATTCTAGGGGAGTCCTAGTCTTCGTCTTCGGTTTCCTCCTCCTCGTCGTCGTCGTCCATCTCATCCCCATCGATGGCATCGTCGAACTCGTCTTCATCCGGGGAGCTTGACGGGGCGTAGGAGGCATCGTCTTCGTCCTCGTCACCGTACACTTGCCCAAAGAACGTGCCATGGTACGGTGGGGGGACGTAACTAACGCGTTGGAAGTATGCGTTCATGGCGTACCCTTGGCGTTGGACAGCCTCGTCGAGCCTCTCAAGGTATCCATCTATCCCGTCAACTTTGAGGTGAAGGCGGTGGAGGGAGTCGACGATGGAGGCAAGGTTGGCCCGGGCCTGGGGTTCGGCTGGGCTTGGGGCAGTGGCAGTATGGCGTGGCGCGGCTGTGGTAGGCGCGGCGTTGTCCGACCGCTTTGTGAAGGTTTGGGCACTGATCGTCCAAAGCTTCGTGGCCTTCGTGAGCAGGCCAACGGTGGTGGTGGCCTTGAATCGTTCAAGGATGTCCATCACCAAAAACGAGTAAGGGAGGAGGTGATCATGGTCGGTGGACGCAACGATCGTCATGTTGATCATGACAAACTTCGCCCAATTGATTGGGGCCGTGTGCATGATCGCATGGATGAGCTTGAGGTCCTCACCGGACATGATTGTGTGCCCATGCTTCCGGGGTTTGATGATTCGGGACACGATGTAGAGGAGGAGACGGCCTTTGGGGTTTGCGGAGTGGATGGTGGGGCGGCCCGAAGCGTGCCTGATGAGCTCGGTGATGCCAAGCTCGTTGAGGATACGGCCATCGTTATTGAGCACCCAGTCCTCTCCGCCATAGTGGGAGACGTTGTCGCCTTGGTAGGGGAGACCGGCGATCTGCCCAAGCTGCTCCACGGTGAGCTCAATCAGCGTGGACTTGACGAGGCTGTAGATTCGAGTAGAAGGCCCGAATCAGCACTGGGTTGATCTCCTTCCGAGCACGGGAGACGAACGGCCATAAGCCGGCTTGGTGAAGCTGTGCATCTAGGTCGTCGTAGCCTTACAGCTCCGGTAGGCACTCCGGGACTATCCGTGGGGGAGCCACAACCCGTTTAGAGAAGAGAGTGAGGAAACAGGTGCGCTCCTCCCCGGAATCGAACCAGAGGTATGATCCGTCGCCGTAGTAGAGGCGCTCCTCGGTGTTTGTTACCGGTGCTCGGGATTTTGACTTTAATTTCCTGGAGGTGGCAGCCCTGCTCTTGTCTTTGCCCATGGTGATGAAGAAATCTCAACAAATATTCTAAAGAAGATGAAATACGCAAGAGAATTGAGTTTGTGTGTATAAAAGTGAGGAGAGGGGGTCCAAATATATAGGAGAAAGGGTTCCTAACGTTCAAAAGTTTGAAAAAAAACTGTTGGAGCTTTTAATGCAGTTCCAACGGTATTTTTTTGTTTTTGAAAAATTTGACCAGAACAGCGATGTTCCAGAGGGGACATCGCTGTTGGGATAGCGCTATTGTGTCGTTGTACAGCGCTGTTCTGCGTCAAGTTTTAAAAACCAGGTGTCAATTGGACAGCAATGTTGGGAATCCTACAGCGATGTTCTAGAAGTTTTTGGAAAAGTGTAAGGGTTTGAACCCATTTGAACAGCGCTTTTGGGTTCCCCTACATCGTTGTTTTACGATAGAAGAAAAAAATTTATTAAATGTATTTAAATAATTTATTCCAAAATTTATTCCAAAATAGGTGAAATGACATATGGTGGGTTCATGCCCAAATGATTAATTTATTAAATGTATTTAAATATTGAACTTGTCCGTGCGCCGCCGACCCTCCCACCATCACTGTCCTCCAGGGTTAGCACCCGTACCGTCATGTCTACCTGCGTGTAGCAAAGAAAACAACTACATGCTCAGCAAAAGCTGAGGAGTGAATCTAACAAAAGAACATGGAGTGATAACCCATATGGTCATACACATATTAATACCTGTACTTAACGTATGGAAAAACACATATTTACTAACTGACTAATTTGTACTTGATGGGATATTATTACACATAACAAAATGATATACTGCCACATTGAATATGGACACGATGGGGAACATACATGATGATGACAACCACATTGAATGTTGACGTGACATGAACATACAAGATGACAATATGTTAGATGCATGATACCCCTGACTTAGTCTCACTTGACAGGATCACCCCTGCACTCCGGTAATGAGCCAGGCTCGACAAAATGTCGCAAGTGAACTAGCAAAACTGGGTGGTAGCCGTAGCCTGACTACTATGTACGTACACAAAGCCCACCTGATGAAAACCCGTTGGATCCCAAAGGTTCCTGGACGGGCCCACTGTAGTAGGCGCACGAAAGCCTGACCTCCCTACAGCGGTATGCACATGATGATGAACCTAGGACATACGTCTAGGATGAACATGATGACATGAATGCATTGATTGAAGAAAGAAGTTAAATTTAACGCATACATGAGGGTTTGATTACAATTTGTTCAACATGATGGCCTTAGGTTCAGAACTAGCTGATAATCGATTGTCTACTGTTGATAATCGATTATCATGCTGTGCAGCTTCTGTCCCCAAAGTCCTGCAGGCTGTGATAGTCGATTGTCACCCTATGGCAGTCGATTGTCGAGTTGGTTTGTTTGGGAAGTCCTAAGTTCAGAGAGCCCTGATAATCGATTATTGCCTATGTGATAATCGATTATCAGTGAAGCCAACTCAGACCCAAGAATCCGCAGGGCCTGATAGTCGATTATCACATATGTGATAATCGATTATCACGCTATGCTGAATCAACTGAGGAGTCCAGCATGGACTGATAGTCGATTGTTCTATTCTGTAACTCGATTATCAAGGCACGCTGACTTCCATTAAATCTGGTTGTTTGTCATCAAAACATTGGAAGTTTTAGAAACGAATGTTTATATTTCCATGCTAGATAATCGAATAACTTACAAGGTTTCAAAACATTTATATTAACAAGAACATAACTTAATAACATGGACACACGTATGTTGGATGGTTAACCTATGAACATGCATAGTCTCTACGTAGGTTGCGTACGATATTCCTATGAATATAACAACATAGATTATGACTTGATGTTCTAGAATTAGAGGAGACAACTACTCACCTCTAGTTAAAGGAGTTGACGGAATGATACGACGAGATGAACGAATGGATGACGATGAATGAACGACTTCCCGGGTAGCCCTCCTTCCCTTCTACCTCCTCGTCTTTTCGCTGGAAAACTCCTCGTCGGCTACCGCTGTGGTTGGCCGAACAACAAAGGAGAGTGGAAGAGTTGTGATGTTGAATGGAGGTTACAAGTGTGGTGGAAAGTGAAGAGGGGAGAGGCTATTATATATTGAATGAAAATTGAAGGGGAATTAATGGGAAAAAAATGGAAAATGAATGAGAATTAAGAGGGAATATGAATGGTGAGATGTGGAGTGGCGTGTGAAATGAATTGGGAGTTACATATATTTATTTTACTCCGTTATGTAAACGCGGTTTTCCCCCGAACGTGTCTGAATTGAGATTCGGTTGCGTCTTTGGAATCAGTCAGTCAAAACGAATTTAATGACATGTTCAAATAATTTTTCTAAGAACTTTATTTTCAAACTTCCGGGTCCACCCCAATCATTAATTAATTAATTTAATTAATGTTGAGACTTCCGTTATTAAAACATCTTTTTATATTAAAATACATTAGCTTTGGAAAGCCATTTAAAGAGATCGAAATCTCAATACTTATTAATTTAAAATAATGAGTCTCAATAAATAAATAATATTTATTTATTTAAAACTAGGTCGGTTTGTAGGGCGTTACAAATTGGTTGTGTGTTTCAACAAACTCAATTTCGACATCACCTTTGAGAACATGATCTCTAATGAAATGATGCCTAATGTCAATGTGTTTCGTCCTTGAATGGAGAACGGGGTTCTTCGTCAAGCTTATGGCGATAGTATTATCACAAAGAAGAGGGACGTGATTGATACTAAGGCCATAGTCCACGAGTTGTTGCTTCATCCAAAGGATTTGAGCACAACAACTACCGGCGGCTACATATTCCGCTTCGGTTATGGATAACGCAACACTGACTTGTTTCTTACTAAACCATGATACTAGAGAGCTACCAAGTAAGTGGCAAGTCCCACTCGTACTTTTACGGTCCAATATGCAACCGGCAAAGTCCGAGTCAAAATAACCAACGAGATGACAAGAAGAGCCTTTTGGATACCACAGTCCAACGTTAACCGTGCCGACAAGGTATTTCATGATATGTTTCACCGCCGTTAAGTGTGATTCCTTCGGACACGATTGATACCTTGCGCAAAGGCATACGCTAAACAATTGGTATCAGAGCCTAACTCGCGTCCAAACTTAACCGTTTGAGAGTAAAGCGATCATGGGTTCTTCTTCTAGAAATCTCTATGCAGGAATTGGAGAAGGTCAATCAACTTCTAGGCCACCACTCTTTGATGGCACCAACTACTCCTATTGGAAGGAACAGATGAGAATCTATATCCGTTCCACCAACTTCCAATTGTGGTTGGTGATCAAGAACGGCGAAGAAATCCCTATGAAGAAAGTGGGAGAAACCACGGTTCCAAAGACCGAGGACGAATTTGATGCCGAGGATATCAAGAAGATTGAGAATTATGCAAAGGCCATCAATATGCTATATTGTGCGGTCAACCCCGATGACTACCGGAAGATCTCCTATTGCATAACCGCCAAGGAGATGTGGGACAAGATTGAAGTAACTTACGAAGGTACCGATCAAGTGCGTGAAGCCAAGATCGATTTTCTCACCTAAGAGTATGAAATGTTTCGAATGAAGGAAGGTGAGAAAATCGACGACATGTTTTATCGTTTCTCAAAAATTATAAACGATCTTCATGCTCTTAAGAAGACATATACCAACAAGGATCTCGTAAGGAAAATCCTGCGAAGTCTCACCCCCGAATGGAGGTCAAAAGCCGATGCAATCTATGAATCCATTGGAGTCTCCAACGTCACCATCGACGGGCTAAGAGGTAATCTTAAAACCTATGAATCTACTATTCTAACCCCGTCTTTGGATGAACAAAAGAAAAAGGGGATAGCTCTCAAAGCCACCAAGGAACCGGTGGAAGAGGTTTCAAGCGATGACGACAACGAGTTTGGACTCGTCATCAAGAAGTTCCACAAGTTCATGAAGAAGGAATTTGAGCGGAAGGGAAGGAAGCACGACGGTCCTCCCAAGTGCTACGGCTGTGGCGAGATTGGCCACATCAAGCCAAGGTGTCCAAAAGCCAAACATGGCAAGGACAAGCCCGGCTTCAAGAAGCAAAGGGCTTACATCTCTTGGGGTGGCGATTTCGGCGACGAATCAACCGACCAAGAGGAGGACGAAGCTGCAAATCTTTGCCTCATGGCGCACGAAGATCAAAACGACGACGTCCAAGAGGTATGTACCATTTCTTCCGACTCTTATACTTTTGAATAAATGCAAGAAGCACTTCATGACCTTTATGAAGAATTTGTTAGCGCTTCTAAAACTAATAAATCTTTGAAGAAACATCTTTCTACACTTGAAAACGATTTTGAAAAATTGGAAAAAGAAAATGAAAAACTAAAACAAGAAAACAAATTTTTTGAAAAAAGAAGCGTTGACAAACCGGAAAGTTCCTCAAGTGAATGTGAGTCTTGTAAAGCTTTAAAAGAACAAGTCACTAAACTTGAGAGCACGGTCAAGAAATTCAATACTCCTCACAAAGATTTAAATTTGCTTCTTGACACTATGCATTTTTCTAAGGAAGGAATGGGGTTCAATAAAAATGAAGCTAAAGTTAAAGAAAATGTTGAGCCACCACCTAGACAACCATCTAAGGCTCAACATAAGAAACCTAAAAATCAGGTTAATAGAAAACCTAGTCAACCTAAGGACACTAGACAACCTAGACTAAAACCTAGGAATGAAAATGTCCATGGTAGACAACCTAAGAAAAATGATTTTGTGCATAAAACCGAATTTTCTCAAATTAGGAGAAATAATGTTAGAGCACCTAGAAAAGGTCAATTTCAAAATTTTCACAGACCATCTTTTTCACAAAATAGGAACAAAATGGTTAAACCCTCTAACTCTTATGAATCTAGGCACATGTACAATCCCAACGTAGTTTGCCATTATTGTAATAGGATAGGCCATATTGCTCCCGTTTGTTACACTAGGCATAGGAACCTATCACAAAATCAAGCACACTACCATCACACACCTAACACACGAGGACCCAACGTAAATTGGGTACCTAAAACTCATTGATGTGTTTCATAGGTGTGCTTGAAGGCATCAAGTGTACTTTGGTACCTTGATAGCGGACGCTCCTAGCACATGACCGGGGATGCATCCAAGTTTCTCCAAATTAAGCCCGCTAAAGGAGGAAACGTAATTTTTGGAGATAATAAAAAGGGAAAGATTATCAGCATTGGTTCGGTAGGTAAATCTGAAAACTCCTCTATAGATAATGTCTTGCTTGTTAAAGGTCTTAAACACAATCTCTTGAGCATAAGTCAATTATGTGACAAGGGAAATCGTGTGACCTTCGACTCAAAATCATGCACGATAGAACGCCTTAGTGACAATAAGGTCATTCTACGTGGTGATAGAATCGATAATATTTATATGGTTAACTTAGACAAATCTCCTTCCGGCTTTGCTAAGTGCCTCATGAGTAAAGAGGAAGACACTTGGTTATGGCACCGAAGGGTAGCTCATATGAACATGAACCTCTTGAACAAATTGGTTTCACAAGACTTAGTAATTGGCATTCCAAAACTCAAGTTTGAAAAAGACACCATTTGTGATGCATGTCAAAAGGGGAAGCAAATTCGGGCTTCGTTTAAGTCTAAAAACGTTGTTTCAACGTCTAGACCGCTTCAACTTTTGCACATGGATCTCTTTGGTCCTTCTAGAACGAAGAGTTTTGGTGGTAATTACTTTGCGTTTGTGATTGTCGATGACTACTCCAGGTTTACATGGACTTTGTTTCTTACTCATAAAAGTGAGGCATTTCATGTTTTCAAAAATTTTCTAAAGAAAGTTCAAAATGAAAAAGACACAACCATAGTAGCCATAAGAAGCGACCATGGGGGAAAGTTCGAACGAAATCTATTTTCAGATTTATGTGACGAACTTGGCATTGATCATAACTTCTCAGCCCCACGTACACCACAACAAAATGGAGTGGTGGAGCGTAAAAATAGATGTCTCAAAGAGATGGCTAGAACTATGATCAATGAGGCAAAAATCCCTAAGTATTTTTGGGCGGATGCCGTGAGTACCGTAAGCTACGTGTTAAATCGAGCCGTCATTCGACCGATACTCATGAAAACGCCCTATGAATTATACAAAGGGAGAAAGCCAAACCTTTCCCATCTTCGAGTCTTTGGTTGCAAATGTTTTATTCACAATAACGGCAAAGATAACTTGGGAAAATTTGATGCCAAGTCGGACAAAGGAATTTTCCTCGGTTACTCACTTCGTAGCAAGGCCTATAGAGTGTTTAATAAACGTACTTTGACTATTGAGGAGTCCCCTCACGTTGTGTTTTCCGAAGATAATACTCGCTTGGCGAGAAAGGCTGTTTGTGATGATCTTGCAGATTCACTTGAAAAATTACACGTTGAAGACGATGAAGAAGACACGCTATTATACACCAACCTGGAACCACAACCTGAGGAAACACCTCAAGTGATGATCGAAAATGAGGACCAAGCGAACGAAGAAGAACACGAGGAAGCCCAGGAACAAGAGGAAAACGAGCTTCCCATCGCTTGGAGAACGAACAAGAATCATCCACTTGACCAGGTAATCGGCAGCATCAACCGCGGGGTAAGTACTCGTAACTCACTTAGGGACACCGTAGGACACATGGCTTTTGTTTCTCAAATTGAACCTACAACCATTTCCGAAGCAATAAACGATGAACACTGGACCTTGGCTATGCAAGAGGAGCTAAACCAATTCAAACGAAATGACGTTTGGGAATTGGTGCCAAGGCCCGATGATCATACGATTATTGGTACGAAATGGGTGTTCCGTAACAAACTTGATGAAAATGGAATAATCACTAGAAACAAAACTAGGCTCGTACCTAAAGGCTACAATCAAGAAGAAGGCATTGATTTTGAAGAAACTTATGCACCCGTAGCACGTTTAGAAGCTATTCACTTACTTCTTGCTTTTGCTTCGTCTATGGATTTTAAACTTTATCAAATGGATGTTAAGAGTGCCTTCCTAAATGGTTTCATTCAAGAGGAAGTGTATGTTGACCAGCCCCGGGGTTTGAAGACTTTGGTTTCCCGACAATGTCTTCAAACTCAAGAAAGCGCTCTACGGTCTTAAACAAGCACCCCGTGCTTGGTACGAACGTTTGAGTAAATTTCTTTTGGATAGTGGTTTCCTAAGGGGAAAGGTTGAAACCACACTTTTTATCAAGAGTAAAAACAATAACATCCTTTTGGTTCAAGTTTATGTAGACGATATTATATTCGGTGCTACTAACGAGTCTTTTTGCAAGGAATTCTCAACGTTAATGACAAGTGAATTCGAAATGTCAATGATGGGCGAGCTCACATTCTTTTTGGGACTCCAAGTCAAGCAAATGAAAGATGACACGTTCATTTGCCATGTTGATTTATGAATTCACTCTTAAGGAATAATTGTGTACATGGATGTTTATATAGGTGAGGATCCATACATGGACTAGGATTCACCAAATAAGTAAACTAACATAAATAACAATTCTTCTATAACTAGACTTCTTTCCATATATGTCTAACAATAACATTAAAGTTTATATATATTATTGAAAATACTAATTAAAAATAGTGTTACATTGCAAATGTGAAATACATCTTACAATTGATAACACCTAGTTTTCATATTTTGAAAGTGATTTATTATTTTATCATTGCTAATAGTAGCAGAGACACCTCTTTCAATATATGTCACTAGACAATCATTTAATGATTGGTTACAAATTTTTTTTCGAACCTCATTTTTCCCAAACTTCATGACTGAAAAAACACGCTCAACACTAGGTGTTGCTAGTGGTAGAAGCAAAGCAAACCTTATTATTAGTGTATAAACATGTTGATATGCCATAGCCTTCTTCGTAGAAACCATTTTCATAGACAAATCAACACGCCCATTTGATGTTTTTTAGGTTTAAGAGAAAACCAAAAAAAAGAAAGACGACATTGTTTTAAAAATGCTATCTTCCAAAAAATATAATAAACTTGTCATGGCTGGGTTTGAACCCATGACCGCCCATGGTAGAAGCAAAGCAAACCTTATTATTAGTGTATAAACATGTTGATATGTCATAGCCTTCTTTGTAGAAACCATTTTCATAGACAAATCAACAAGCCCATTCGAAGTTTTTTAGGTTTAAGAGAAAACCGAAAAAAAGAAAGACGACACTGTTTTAAAAATGCTATCTTCCAAAACATATAATAAACTTGTCATGGCTGGGTTTGAACCAATGACCGCCCACTCTATTGCATAACTTGGAGTTTTCCACTCCTTCAACGTAGACAACTTGGAGCATAGAGCGTTTCGTAAATTATATACTAGATACACGTATACACTAAAAAACTTATGTGTATATATACATATATACTAAAAAATTTAAATTTTCCGCAGGGTCGCTTGACCCTGTGTGACCCAATCTGGGTCCGCCCCTGGATATTAGTGAGAAAGGAAGAGAATTTCGGAAATGGAGAGGAGAGAAGTAGGAAGTCCAACCTCTTTAGAAGAAGTGAAGGGAGGTTTTTTTTGGATTATATAAAAATAGTGCACCAATTGTCAACAGGTACAGTAGCGCACATGGAGACGCAGCAGGTTGTCGTGATGTGAGACTCGTGTTCGAAACTTCCCCAACGTATGCTGTTTTGTCATTTTTCTCTCTCAATTGATAGGCCGAATTGGAAAAAGAACATAATTTCTCTCAGTTGGTAAGTAGCTATATGACCTCTTGTGGCGCGATGGTCGAAGCTTTTATTCTATGCCCCAAAGTCTAGAGTTCAAACCTCTTCTTTTGCTTTATATTTATTTAATTTCTTCTTCTCTTCCATTTAATTTTGTCCCGAACTTCTATATTTATTTTCCTTTCTTGCACTTATTCTCAATGCATCGAAATTCCCTCAAAATACCTGCAAAACATATAAAACCAAGCATAGGATTGCTCTACCAAAATAACACAGGAAATTGAAATAAAATGTAAACATTAAATTCAATTGAGATTCAAAAATCCTTCAAAACATGCTTAAAAAGTGTATTTAATTTCTTCTTATCTTCCATTTAATTTTGTCCCAAACTTCTATATTTATTTTCCATTCCTGCAATTATTCTCAATGCATCCAAATGCCCTCAAAATACCTGCAAAACATACGAAACCAAGCATAGGACCGCTCTACCAAAATAAAATGGAAAATTGAAATAAAATGTAAACATTAAATTCAATTGAGATTCAAAACATGCTTAAAAAGTGTATAAAATATGTGCATATCAGAATGCAAATGCCGCTACAAGATTTGACAATGTCAAGCAGGCTATGGTTTCAGCTCTGGTACTCTGCCTTCCCGATTTCACATAGACTCTCTATTTGGAAACAGATGCATCCGATACGGGAATAGGGGCTGTGCTTTTGCAGCAGGGGCATCCTTAGCATTCTTCAGCAAGAAATTCGGGCCACGAAGAAGCGCCGCCTCTACCTATCATAAGGAGCTCTATGCTATCGTCGAGTCCCTGCAAAAGTGGCACCAATATTTGTTGGGCTGGGAGTTCGTCAACTGGAGTGATCAGCGCAGTCTCAAGGAGCTCTTGTGCTAGGTTATTCAAACTATGGACCAACAGTTCTAAATTCACAAACTTATGGGGTTTAAGTTTCGAATCATGTACAAGTCCTAACCAACAAACAAAGCCGCAGACGCGCTGTCCAGACGCGAGGAAAGGCCGGACACCGCTGATCTTTTTGTCTCCTATGCACAACCAAACCCTTTGCTACTCCAGGAGCTTCGTCGTGAGAATGCAGCCTTGCCCGAATTGCAGCAAATCCACCATGTTGTTCGTTCCGGTACGGTGCCACAGTCCTTCACTGTGCATGATGGAATACTTTATTTTCAGCACCGCATGTCTCTGCTCATCTTCCCCTTTACGAGAGCTACTATTATGGGAATTCCATTGCACTTGAGCCGCGAGGAACCATGGGGTAGAGCGCACGTTTCGTCGCCTCGCCTATAGTTTCTTTTAGAAGGGAATGAGGACAGACGTGCGCACGTTCGCTGCGGCTTGTATGGTGTGCCAAGCCACTAAAGATTCCACTTAGAAGCCGGCGGGCCTTCTCCAGCCCCTGCCTATTCTAGATCGGGTGTGGGACTCAGCTTCCATGGACTTTATCATTGGGCTGCACTCGCCACATGGGTTCACCCCTATCATGGTTGTAACAGATCGGCTATCCAAGTATGCTCACTTCAGGCTCTTGCCTTTCGGTTTCGATGCATTGCGGGTTGCGCAAGCTTTCGTTGAGGTGGTTGTTAAACATCATGGGTTTCCCGTCAGCTTGGTTTCCGACCGTGAATCCATTTTTATGAGCTCATTTTGGAAGGAGGTGATGAAATTGAGCGGGACAATATTGAAGTTTAGTACGGCATATTGAAAATAATTTGGCATGCCAACGACCTTAGCTTAACTTACACTCTCTTCAAATTAAACAATGATAGTAGGTTTCTTAGTGACGGATCCAAAGAAATGTTGAGCGGGGGACTCTATGGTAGATAAGACTATCTGGTATATGGATGTGACCACGGCTGACATGGCGGGATGACTCGGTGTGACACCGCATCGGAGGGGCGCGACCCCGCTCTGATCTTCACCCCCTTCTTATGTTAGACAAGGCGTGCAACTTTAGAGGGGGGGTGAATAGAGTTGTTGAGAATGTTTACCGATTTTCGCAGGATTAATAATATAAACATAAGTGCAGCGGAAATAAAATAGAGAAGGCAAAGAACACACCGATGTATACTGGTTCACCACCTCGTGGCTAGTCCAGTTCCCCGAGAGACTCTCTTGAAGCTACCACTACTTCCGTTAAGCTTACGGGTGCTTAACAAACCGTTTACAACTCGAGAACTTGAATCTCACAAGCCTCGTCACAACCGCTCGTAGATATGCCCTCTACAAGACTTTACAACCAAGACTTAAGTCACATAAGTCTTGAACAACAAGAAGAACAATCTTCTTCAACCTCTCAACAATAGCTCTCAAAAGAGTAGAAATGAGAAATGATTAAAGCTCTAATGGATGACAAAACACTCTCTTGAAAACACTTAGTTTTCTCTCAAAATAATATAAATTTGAGGAAAGATTGATGGAGGATTAACACCTCAAGAATGGGGAGTATTGGAGTGTTTCTTGTTATAAAAAATGACCAAGGAAGAGTGTTTTTATGGAGGAAAAAGAAATAAATCCATTGGAAGTATGGAAGGCTGATTTTGAAAGATAAAAGACGTTGGGCATCGATCCAGGGCTGAGGATCGATCATCTGGAGTAAACTTCCGAAAATAAATTTCTGTCAAAGCTTCGGGGGCTCAATCCACACTCAAGGATCGATCCTACGATCAATTTTGGAAAAACAAGATGATCGATCCATGCACTTGGATCGATCCAGTCTCGGATGACTCTGCACAGGTGATCGATCCAAAAAGGATGATCGATCCCCTAACGAACAATGGTCAAACAAGGACGACCCAAAGCATGTGTGCGAGTGGGGAGTACAATTGGAGCTTAATGTTTTATTTAGGACATGTTTTCAACATTATAAGGCTCCCAAAAACAAACAAACCAAGTAAGTTTGAAAGAATTAATTCAAATTCAAAATTTGAATTAAATAAAGAATTTTGGTGTAGAAATTGAGTCCCAAAAATATTTTGTGTGTCAAACGATGTACACGAAAAATATTTGAATAAAATATTTTTTCTTACCAAAAATATTTTATAATAAATATTTGATAAATGTTTGGCACACCTTTTGTAACTGACTCAATAGAACTATTTGAACAGTTAAAAAGATTTTTCAACTCACTCCAAAAATAAATATAATGTTTATTTTAACTCTCATAAAAATAATTTTGGAGAGAAGATATTTTTGTCATCCTTACAATAATTCCTGAGACTTAAATAAATAACAAGTCTTCGGAAATCTTCTACTCCTCCGAGTCCTCCGTTAGGCGCTCCGAACGCGTCTCAGACTCCAATAAAATTCTGTGCACCTTCTTGAATACTTCAAGGAATGGAACTTCAAGTCTTCGTGTGTGTCGTTGTAGCACTTTGATCTTGACTTGAAAAAATTATGTTTGTCAATTATCAAAACCTGTGAGTCAACACTTAACAACACAGAAAGAGTTGAACTCATGCATTCCAACAATTTCCCCCTTTTTGATAATGACAAATACATGGAGGATATGCTATCAACAAATAACAAAATAAGGAATATACTCCTATACTCTTCCCCCTTTTGGCATTATAAAAAATAATGCAACAAAAGAACTCATGCATTCCGTGGAGGGAAAACATTACTAAACAATTAAGAAAAATCACATTCCCCCTAAAATCATGCATTTCTAAGAAATAAAATACTTCCCCCTTAAAGTATGATGTCTACCCCTTAAAAAACATACAAAAAGATTAACACATATAGCAATAAATTCCCCCTTACTATATGCAAAACATCCTATGTATATTCCCCAAATAACAATTATCACAAATAAATCTCAAAGATAACATTTAATTTAAAAAAAATGTAATCACTCCCCTTTGATGCAATCTCTTTGGCTAAGTGCTTGGAGCATCCACTACAAAATTTGTAGTCTTCAATCACGCCTTTCAAGTGCGTTACGTGCCCGACCACCCATCTTGTTCTTCAACACCGATGAGTGAATCATCTTTGGAAGGTTGATCATAACTCCACGAAAATACGCAAATTCATCTTGTTTGCTCATTTTCTTGAGCTTCAAGCACTCAAATTTTTAGTGGCCAAGCTTTCCGCACGTATGACACCTTGGGGTGTTTTTCCTCTTGCTCTTATTAAGCTCATGTTTCATAAACTTGTTAAAACATTCAACAAAAATATCACAAGAAGTGCTAGAATCACTATCACTATCCGAATCCGAATCATCGATCTCTACTTTTTGAGAAGAAAATGCTTTAAAAGCAATTCCCGTTCTCTTCTTAACGTCAAGAGTATGAGAAAGATGATTTGTTTCGTAAGTGATAAGGTTACCTCGGAGACCGTCGTATGTGATAACGTTGTAATCTCGGCCTTCGTAAATGGAGTTAACCTTTGACTCCCGTTCCTTGGTAAGACTTCATAGGATTTTCCTCACTAACTCCTTGTCTGTGAGCGTCTTTCCAAGCATATCAAGGTCGTTGACGCTGTTTGAAAATCTTCCAAACATGTCCTCCACAAGTTCGTTCTCTTTCATAACAAATAACTTATATTCATGGGTTAGTAAATCAATTTTTGATTCACGGACTTAAGGCGTACCTTCGTATGTGATCATGAGCTTGTTCCACATTTGGTTGGCGGTTTGGCAACGAGATATCTTTTGATAATCGTTGGCATTGACAGCACAATACAAGAAGTTGATGGCAGTGGCATTTAATTGAGCCTTCTTAAAGTCGGCTTCATCATATTCATCCTTGTCCTTCGGGATGAGTGTATCGCCTATCTTCTTCATCGGCAAGCTATCTCCATTCTTGATAGCAAGCCAAATTTTGAAGTCGTTTGATTGAACAAAAATCATCATTCGCTCCTTCCAATAGGAAACCATTTTCATAGACAAATCAACAAGCCCATTCGAAATTTTTTAGGTTTAAGAGAAAACTGAAAAAAAGAAAGACGACACTGTTTTAAAAATGCTATCTTCCAAAACATATAATAAACTTGTCATGGCTGGGTTTGAACCCATGACCGCCCACTCTATTGCATAACTTGGAGTTTTCCACTCCTTCAACGTAGACAACTTGGAGCATAGAGCGTTTCGTAAATTATATACTAGATACACGTATACACTAAAAAACTTATGTGTATATATACATATATACTAAAAAATTTAAATTTTCCGTGGGGTCGCTTGACCCTGTGTGACCCAATCTACGCTATCATCGAGTCCCTACAAAAGTGGCACCAATATTTGTTGGGCCGGGAGTTCGTCAACTGGAGTGATCAGCGCAGTCTCAAGGAGCTCTTGTGCTACGTTATTCAAACTATGGACCAACGGTTCTACATTCACAAACTTATGGGGTTTAAGTTTTGAATCGTGTACAAGTCCTGACAAACAAACAAAGCCGCAGACGCGCTGTCCAGACGCGAGGAAGGGCCGGACACTGCTGATCTTTTTGTCTCCTATGCACAACCAAACCCTTTGCTACTCCAGGAGCTTCGTCGTGAGAATGCAGCCTTGCCCGAATTGCAGCAAATCCACCAGGTTGTTCGTTCTGGTACGGTGCCACAGTCCTTTACCGTGCATGATGGAATACTTTATTTTCAGCACCGCATGTCTCAGCTCATCTTCCCCTTTACGAGAGATACTATTATGGGAATTCCATTGCACTCGAACCGCGAGGCACCATGGGGTAGAGCGCACGTTTCGTCGCCTCGCCCAGAGTTTCTTCTAGAAGGGAATGCGGTCAGACGTGCGCAGGTTTGCTACGGCTTGTATGGTGTGTCAAGACACTAAATATTCTTCTGAGAAGCCGAAGGGCCTTCTCCAGCCCCTGCCTATTCTAGATCGGGTGTGGGACTCATCTTCCATGGACTTTATCGTTGGGCTGTCGTCGTCACATGGGTTCACCCCTATCATGGTTGTAACAGATCAGCTATCCAAGTATGCTCACTTCAGGCCCTTGCCTTCCGGTTTCGATGCACTGCAGGTTGCGCAAGCTTTCGTTGAGGTGGTTGTTAAACATCATGGGTTTCCCGTCAGCTTCGTTTCCGATCGTGACTCCATTTTTATGAGCTCATTTTGGAAGGAGGTGATGAAATTGAGCGGGACAATATTGAAGTTTAGTACGGCATATTGAAAATAATTTGGCATGCCAACGACCTTAGCTTAACTTACACTCTCTTCAAATTAAACAATGATAGTAGGTTTCTTAGTGACGGATCCAAAGAAATGTTGAGCGGGGGACTCTATGGTAGATAAGACTATCTNTTAAACATCATGGGTTTCCCGTCAGCTTCGTTTCCGATCGTGACTCCATTTTTATGAGCTCATTTTGGAAGGAGGTGATGAAATTGAGCGGGACAATATTGAAGTTTAGTACGGCATATTGAAAATAATTTGGCATGCCAACGACCTTAGCTTAACTTACACTCTCTTCAAATTAAACAATGATAGTAGGTTTCTTAGTGACGGATCCAAAGAAATGTTGAGCGGGGGACTCTATGGTAGATAAGACTATCTAGTATAGGGACGTGACCACGGCCGACATGACAGGATGACTCAGTGTGACACCGCATCGGAGGTGCGCGACCCCGCTCTGATCTTCACCCCCTTCTTATACCACATTGTCAAATAAGGTCGGGTTTCATGCCGCGGCCCTAACATTTTCTTTAAAGAATTTTAAATATAATGATCAATATACTCGTAATAAATTTCTTATCAAATAAATTGTATTCAAATAATAATAATATAATCTAAAGGCATAGCTAGTATAATATAATGAGGTACATCATAATATAATTAACGTTCCTATTTCAATCATTATATTTTATCTTTATATTTTGTTTAGAATTTTTTTTACCAAAGGTTCAATTGTTTTTTGGAACGGATCCGACACCTTTTTTAGGAGGCACTATATTTTACAATCATTATATTTTTAATTGATTTTGAAAACCATTATATTTTAGCACTAAGTATAACATTCAAACGGACACCTCATCATATTCAAAACGTAGGACGTACATTTTCCAGAAGGGGAAAAGGAGTAAAAAAAAGTAAAAATCAACTCCTTATCAATGGTACGACGTAGTAGTAGCAGCTCGTCCAATGGTCTGATGAGGATGTAGCGACCGCCACTTGGGAACCAACCAAGATCATGCAACGTCACTTCCCACATCTTAGACTTGAGGACAAGTTCGTTTCCGACACCAGGGGAGTTGATACGGGTAACGTTCGGGACGATCAAGATGATTTGGCAATGACACTGTCAGATGTGAAGAGCCAGCCCCGACGGAATGTGAGACCGCCACATAAATATAAAGATTATATTTAGTTTCTTCAATTAATTATTGCAACTTATATTTTTTTAGGTGAGTGGTCTATAAGCTCTTTCGAGGGTTTTTTCAGTTCTTTACCTCGTCGTTTTTTTAACCGACGAGATCAGAGTTTTCTTATTACGTTAGGTTTGGACTTTGTCTTAGCGCCTATAAATATAGGCACCCATTCCAATTAATAATATTAAGAGAACAATAGTACGTTAGTAAATTTCTTCTTTTTCCTTTTTCGTTTACAAGCCCTAGTGCGCCAACCTAATGTTGGTTGCCCGGAAAACCCTATGTCCGGCGTTCCTCCTTGGCTCGTCATTTCACATTATCTCTTTCTTATGTCCATTCTACTAGCTGGTCATAAAAATAACTATGTTAATCTAAAAACAACAATAATAATACTCATTAAGAATTTTATAATTTTCAATCTTAAACCATGGGTAAATTTCAGTAATGGTACCTGAACTTTCACTGGAATTTTGAAGTGGTGCCTGAACTTTAAATCATTTCACAAAAATAGTTGAACTTACTTAATCCTTTCACTAAAAGTCCATTTACACATTTCCAGGTTAACTTCCGGTCATTTGGGCTAAATTAGAATTTTATATATTTTAAATTTTTTAATTTGACTTGATTTCTTTTCTTCTTCTTCTTCCCCCTCCCACTCCCTTCTTTTTCTTCTTTTTTCACCCCCTTACTTTCTCTTCTTCTTCTTCTTCCTCACCCCACCCTGAGAATACTATTCAAATTTTCTTAAAACTTACTCTATCACTCTTTCATGAAACAATCTCATTCTAGTGGGATTTTTATTCGTGGATCTTGAATTAGACTTGAACGATCATATTGGGCCTATTCAACAAACGCGAGGAAAAGCATGGGTGTAAGCCTAGTGAACGAAGAATTCCTTCCTATTCAGTTTTAATTTCAAATTTTCTTGTAATAAAATGATAAATCAAGGATGATAAATGAAAGCTGTAGAACCCTCTTCTCTGCCCGCCTCGCCGATCCCGGATTCCCTCGTCTGTTCCAGCCAAGCACCGCCGCTGTAAGCCATCTCTATTTTTCTTCTGGAATCCTTAACTTCAAACCTCTAAACAAGGGAGATTTGATGGAGCTATGGTGAGGAATAAGAAGAAGAAGAAGAAGAAGAAGAAGAAGAAAGGGGGTGAAAGAAGAAGAAATAGAAGGGAGTGGGAGGGGGAAGAAGAGGAAAAAAAATTCTAATTTAGCCCAAATGACTGAAACTTAACCTAGAAACGGGTAAATGGACTTTTAGTGAAACGATTGTGTAAGTTCAGGTATTTTGTGAAAAGATTTAAAGTTTAGATATCACTTCGAAATTCTAGTGAAAGTTCAGGTACCATTACTAAAATTTACCCTTAAACAATGGATCACAAATAATACCAATTTTATAAATATTAGAAATATATAAATAATAAGCACAACATTTATCCTTCATAGGAATAAGGGTATAAATTTGGATTAGATAAACTTTCACGAAATATATAGCAATTGCAATACACTCGGAAAAAATTCGTTTTTCATAGGTTTATAAACATGCGAGAAAGTAAGAGTGGCATTATTAAAAACTTCTAACACTTGTTCAAATTTTTAACAATAATAAATTCATTAAAATCGATAAAATGATCAAGTTCATACATGAGAAATGGAAAAAAGTTCTTCTTTATAGCGCAGGATCTGGTCAATCAACTTATACGTACTATTCTATCTATTGTAATGTCCTTAGCAAATGTGAAAGGTTTTTTATCTTTAGATTTACAAAAAGACTTCCATGCTTGAGAGTGAAAACGACTACCCCAAATTAATTTTAAACTAGCTTTAATGTTGGTCAAGATCCCCCCATAGCTGCTAGACCCTTCTGAACATGCAAATTTAAAACATGACAAGCGCCATAGTTTTTAGAACCGGACCGGGGACCGAACCGGCCAAGGTACTAGTGCACTAGTCGGACCGGAGGTTTAAGTGGTCGAACCAGTGGTTCACGTATATTTGGAAATTATATATATATATATATATATATATATATATATATATATATATATATATATATATATATATATATATATATATATATAGGGGGGGGCGGTTCAGGTGAGAATGCACCTTGGTGAAAGAAATAAGAATAAAATCTAGCCTTTGGATCCGATGCATCGTGCGGCTTAGATTGCATCATGCACTCAGATTTTGAGATAGTGCATTTTTAAAGAATTTTGGTGCATTTCGACATGATGCATTTTCAGATCATTTTGGTGCACCTAATTTTGATGCAATCCTGACCCTTAGATCTCACAATCTAAAGCACCAGATTCATTCTTATTTCTTTTATACGATTGCATTCTCACCTGATCCTATATATATATATATATATATATATATATATATATATATATAG